TAGACACGGCCTTGAGAGAAACCTATGAAGAGATTGGAATACTACCAACAGATGTGGACATACTAGGGCAAGATGTGACACTTCCGAACAAAGATCTCACGATGCATGTATTTTCATTCATTGGATTTATCAAATATCCCATTGATGTTAACGAGATTAAGTATAACGAGAGTGAAGTATCGAGTGTATTCACGGTGGCTCTGAAAGACCTATTGGATCCTGAGAAGAAGATCTTTAAGCAATTTAGAGATTCAAATATCAAATATCCGGTATGAGTATTTTTTATTGATAGGTTGAGGGATCTGTGGTATGCTTAATCATCTACTGCTACTATTCAGGTTTTTAAAACTCCAGCGCTGGTAGGACTTGATATATGGGGCCTCACAGCTTTTATTTTGGACAGTAAGCATTTTGTCTGTCTTTGCATTTTCCCAAATGCCTATTATTAAAGGCTCGAAGTTTCCAAATTTTTATAATTGATTAAACTCATCAGCTCTACGTCGATATCGTATAGGCGTGTTAAGAAGATTAACTGACCCGTCGTTAATAAAGGGAAGGAAATATCAATAAATGACCAAAAGTTACAACTGGAAAGAAAATCAGTGTTTCGTGATAAATGTGAATTTCTCACTTGACGTTACTTATTATGTGCAAGTATTACTCATCACCTCCATTACCTCGCGCGTCATCCACAAAAATATACAATTAGCTTAGATCAATCGAGTAACAACTTGGGAACATTAATTCTTCGTCGATAAATTTTCTTAATTGATCAACAATAAATCGTTCCAACTTTCCAATGTTTTTTAAAACTTAAAGATCAAACAGATTAGCCTCATCTTTTATGGAACATAAATGTCATGCGATTTGGTAGGTTTTTACCTTGCTTCCCTTTGTCGCCAATTTCCGATTCGATGTGAACTTCTTTCAGAAGGCTAATGTTAAACAACCAATAAATTTAAAAATTCGAAATAAACGCACCGTCATTTTTTTTCTTTGCGAATACCTACCTTTCTTCCGGATCATTTGGTTCCAAGAAGCAAAAATTGATACGACGCTTTAGGTAGGCAATTGCTGCAGTGGCTGTCGTGAATCAATTATGTGTCAAAGATCGTTTGATAGATCAAATGTTGCTGGAGTGAATCAAGAAGAAGCAAACCACCTGAAAATTCGAATCCCGTGACGGTCAACCTAATGGGTAAACTCATGAACATCGTGCTAGGATAGTTCATATATAGTTCGGTAGTAACCGTCATTCTCATATCTCCTTTATAATTTATTGACATATGTAATTGAGCATCGGTATCTTCATCAGGTGTTAAAGATCCACAAGAAGTGTCATCTCTGGCGTGCACGTTGTCCAGGTGTTGCGTGTGAAGATGATTTGCTTGATAATCTGCTGATAGATGAAATCTATTTTCTTGATGTTGTTCCAAATATTCTGAATAATAATCATCTATTATCGATGAGGATGGTGACGTAATTGGTGTCGACAGCTGGTTGTTCAAACCTCCCATTCCGTATATACCGACACCCGGGTTACTACCACTCAACAAACTGCTCGAAATTGAGGAGTTCAGGCCAATACTTCCGGCCAAACCGTTTAATCCAATACCGCCAACGCCGGTATTATTTCCAATGGGAGTAGGACGTTCAATTCCATTTATATTTGAATAAGAGGTTTCCAAACCCTCTGTGAATCTAACATCCTCCTCGATAACTGAGTTTTCGGGTAAATAAAATTCAGGAAAGGGATCGGTAACCTTGGTGATTTCAATCGACGGCGGTAAAGTTCCAAAATCAAAATCGGAAATTTCTATGTCACCGAGGAAGGAAGGTTTATTAGCTGAATTTCGAAAATATTCGTTTAATGTGTCTTGTACTTTTTTGGCTACCTCTTTATCCAATTTCTCCCAGAATATATCAAGAGACATTATGACAAAGAATAAAATATGCTGCTAGGTAACAGTTTATCATCTATAAGCAAATTTCACGTGATGAATGTCAGGTGACGTATTAGTAAAGATTGTATAATATCATTCTTTTTGAATATACTGTAAATATTTTAAAATAAAATAAGGAAACTTGAGGGTGCCCATAATTTATAGCGCCATGCATGCGTGGATTTAAATTGGGCAACAATCAAAGTGCAAATCAAATCTGTGAATTCACAGGTATCTTTGTATATAAGAAGAATTTTACTCAGAAGATTGGTTCATTTGGATGAAATGAATACGGTTCAAATAGACGAACGCATTTTCAACTTTAGATCACTCCCCGAATTTCCTAACCATGAAGAGGCCTTGAACTTGTTGAAGAAGTTGGCTTCTCATGTATACTGCGACTTTTGATTTTTTTCTTTGCATTACACAATTCTTCTTAAATGTCCGTGGATAACGACGGTACGTTCTCCAGGTTAAACCGATAATGCAAAAACACAATTGGAAGGTTGGAACCTTGGAAGAATTCTTTCCAGCGGAGAAAAACTTGCTCGGTATGTAGAGTTTATACTCTAGTTCGGTTAATGTACATGACAAGCTTAGTTTCCATGGCATGCTTTAGGACTAAATATAAATCATGGTGAGGTAATACGCGTCCGATTACGCCCGCATTATGACGGAATGAAATTCTTTGATTTTAATGATCTTATAGGAACAATGTTGCATGAGTATATAATCTAAGAAATCATTGACCTTTTAACCAAACATCGTTTATCATTGTCTATTCTACTAATGTTTAGCTGTTTTACAGACTGACACATAATAAATGTGGTCCACACGATGCAGCATTCTATAAGCTTTTGGATGAATTGAACGATGAGTACGATGAGTTATTGCTCACAGGTCATGCTGGAAGTGGATTCTACACAGATGGTGTCAAACTTGGTACCGGAGTATCGCATAATATTACACCAGCTATGGCTAAACAGAGAGCATTGGAAGCAGCGGAAAGAAGAAAACGAATACAATCAATAATGACGAACGGTGGCGTTAGACTAGGTGGTGATATCTTGGAGAGTTATTCGTCCATGAGAGAATTATCTGCGTTTGCTGCCGAAAGAAGGAGAAGTGATATGATTTGGTGTGGCAGTGAGGAAAGTAACGGGGTCAATCACGCAGGTCCTTCAAGATCTTCACCACATCAGAATGCAAAGCCACGTCCGGTCCGAATCCCAGAAAATAAATTACCTGGCGCTAGTACATCATCACATCAATGGAGTTGTCCTAAATGCACATTTGACAATCGTCCGTTAGCTTTACAATGTGAAGTTTGCTCATTCGAACGATCGGGCGAATGGGATAGCGGACATTCTCCATCTCAACCTATAGTTATTGACAATTCTGCGAATTCGCGATGGAGATGTCCTATGTGTTTGTATGAGAATGACGCTGACGTTGTCATGTGTATTGGATGTGATTATTTAATGTATTGATTGAATATTAATCACACGCTCGCGTGAGTGAGTGTGTCACGTGATCTAATAGATTTGTATTTTATTTTTATCGTTATCTTGTATTACGGAATTTTATTTGTTTAGTTGTTCTCCAAACGTTGAAATAAAGCCCGTTTCTAATTGTAAATACTTATTTGCTGACGGCTTAGACTTTTTTGTTGCGTCAAATACTAAAATGTACACACAATATGTCACATTATTATAATACATAATTAGTCACATTCTTCAACACCAATTCCAGAATTCCGTACCAAAGGGTTTTCATTTGCGTAGACTTTAAATTTCTTCTAGTTATACCAGGCTTTCGCATAATTCTTAATGCCCAACGTATTTGAAGTCTATAGCTTTCCAGAAATGAAAACATATAGTAATAATAAACGACTTCCTGACACCATTCATGTCAAGCTTAGCAAGGTTGATTTGTATAAAGTTTCAAAGAAAAATATGATAGGTTTGTTTATCATATTTTATTTTCATCTCGTGGATTGTCTAACCTTGACAAAGGTAACACTTAGAACTTTTGATGTAAAGAGCCATCTCAGCCTGCTATACTATCTGATAAAAATCAGGACGCATTAATCGACAGCCAAGATGTCGACTTGATAGTCTTTGATGATGACATTGCAAGTAATAGAAATAGCAATAATATGATAAACACATCGAGTCAGCCGATGAGCCTCATTGATACCTTATTGTGCGATCCAAATTTTGGCGCATTTCCAACACCTACTCAAAGCGAGGAGTCGCCTAAACTTTGGACGAAAGACGAGATCGAACGAATTTCCTCTTACAATAGCGATCATTCTTATCAAGACCAAAGTGAAGACCTCATTCACACACATGAGAACCACGAGACTCGAGTGAATAAGATTGACCAGCCGAATTCCAAGATCATCAAACCAGTTAAACATAAGCCAAAGGTCAAATCGAAAAGGCAAGTTTACTCTTTCGCCGAATTGATTTTCTACAGGCACTCTCCGATTACCAAGGGAATTAAATGTGTCTTCAGTCAAGACGCTGCAAAATACAATTTATTGATTAAGAAGGCTTACATTGCTCCGGCTTTGAGAAAATTCGATGAACAAACATCATTTAATTTATCTTTTTTCAATGAATTTATGGAGGCGCAGAACCGATGGGTAGCCTTGATGATGGGAAGAAGTCTAATAAAAAAAGCTCGAGATCAGTTGATAGATTGCAAGAATTTCTATGACATCATTTCTGTTCATTATCACAGCAAAGTTGAACATGAAGACGAATGTGGCTCTAGACTTATTGTGGATATTAGTTGTTGTGACAAAGAGTGTGACGACTTTCAAGATGATTCATTCGGGCGTCCGCAAAAAATGGCGCGTTTTCGAGATAATTCGTGGTAACTAGACGGTGAGTCAGGTTATTTAACGAATGTCACAAAAATGTAATCATGACTTAACCCATGTTCTCATTTACCTCGTTTTGGCAACAAAGGGCAATATTGGTTAACCTCCGTAGATCGCTTTCGCAGATGCACCGACAAATAATTAGATAGAATTAACGTGAAACCAGACATTGATGAATTGTAATTCGTTACTTTGGTACTTTTTTTCATAGGATCTTCAGGTATTCATATGTACATCTCTCGAATTCTGGATATTGGCATTTATGAAGTGGGAGTTTTTGCACGGGGGCCCAAAATAAATTTCATGCGTAGTTTCATTACGCTCGTAATTGCTTACCACAATCTATCGATGTATTTCCGGAAATAACGAAAATTTGTACGTTTGGAACGTGGTAAACTTTTTTCTTTGCTAATTAATGCGATATATGCTTATGATACGTTAATTGATATTAGAATTTGTTAAATTATAAATTGGAGTTGATATCATGGGCGCTTAGGCATAACTTTTTGTTTATCATGTTATTGGTCGAGCAACGCTACAAGAGGACAGGCTTGAGCCAAGCCAAATCATCGAATATCGGCTGAGCAATAATTGAACAGGTTACATGAGTGATACATATGATCACATGAATGTGCGAGGTATCGAGAAGAGACAGAGTTATGACTGTTGGATTTGCACAAAAAAACATGAAAAAAATAAATTGTTTACTGCATATAAGTAAATTATGAGAAATTATCAATTATTTCTATTTATTATAATATACAATAAATCATTATAATTGCATTTGGTATAGATGCATTTTATTATCTCGAGATGATGATCAAATATTTGCATACATACAGTATAATGGTTTAGCAATAACTAATACGATCAATGTCCTTCGTGCATTTGTATGTCGTATTTATGGGATGAAGACACGTTTTTTCATGGTTCTCGCGGTTTATACGAGATACTTTTTTTCCATTCCAAGAATTGCTTCAATATTTCCTGTTCTCGAGAGTTCATCTAATTATAAGAATGCGGGTTTTGTAATTCATCAAGTCAAAGATGATTTGGCAACTAGGCATTCTCCATCTACCTGCTCATATTGTTCATCGGTTTCATGATCATAGCCAATCAAGTGACAAATTCCATGTATGTATAAGACAGTTAACCTGGAATATATATTTTCGCCATTTGCTTTGCACCAATCCGATACGTACGGAATCGAAACTATAAGATCGCCCAGATATTTGTGTTCTTCAGTTAATGGTGATGGCAAAATCCCTGGCTTTATGGCCTGAGTTTAAATTTGAGATAATCAATACATTTAATGTCGCCGTAGTTCAAATCATAACTATACCTTGTGAAGAGGAAATGATAATATATCTGTGGCCTCGTCAATTTTTCTATGATCTCTATTGAATCGCCTGATTCTTCGGTTTCCTGTATAATGAATCCCTAAATTCCAATTCGGATAGTTCGATAATTTTAACAACTGTTCCACGTCTCTTCTTGTTGCCTTTGCAGAAATATTTGATAACTTTAGTAAATTCCTTAAAATTACTGTCATTCTTGGAATCACTTGCAGATCACGAATCGATACTTTTTATTAACTTATCACGTGAATTGATATAAGGTTTATTCATGCAACATCGTTACTAAAAATACAATACTTTTTTTTTTTTTACAATTATAGTATTTACAGAAGAAACTGAAACTATATTCTGTATACCGATAAATATCACGTGCATATCAAGATAATTTAGGAATAAGCTATTCTCACTAAATCGATTAGGTTTCCTTTAGGCTGCTTCATTTCATCCGGGAAGAACTCCAAAAGTTTCTCAAAGAGTTCTGTTCTTACATCAAATAGATCAATATCATCTGCAAAACAAGGGAGAAAGAAAGGAAACGAGACGTTAAGATCCGACCCGGTAAATAAATAAATAAAACAAATGAGAAGTTACTCACTTTTTATGTTATAGAATAAATTGGATGTTAAGCCACGAAATTCTTCGCTTTCCGTCTCACTCGTATGGTCTACTACTTGACTAAGTTGATTCTGAAGATACTTGAGTGCCTTTATAGAGTCACCTTCCAAACACATTTCCCAAAATCTATTGAGAGAAACACACGATTGTAATAAGTAATATAGTTAAATCCATCCGTGAAAAGCGTAAACTGATAGATACCTTTGTTTTCTAATCTGAAATTTAATGCGTCTTAAAATATTATCAGGTTCAGGTCTTTAAAGCATCAACGGTAAATGTAAGTTTACGAAATCGAGACTCTCCATAAAAATTACTATAAATGTCAAATACCTTATTAGATATATCACCCAAAAGTCATCCAAACGTTGTTTCCTGGAAATATCAGTTTCGACTGTTCTTCCGCCAAATATATACTGGGCTTTGTGCACACTATCATAAACCATTTGGTGTGCATGTCTGGGGTGAGGTTCACATGCTTCATTATCTTCCCAATATTTCATATCAAACGCGTCGCTTTGATATATTCTCGTCCATTTGCACTTGTGAAGATCGTACACCCAAAATGAATTTTTGACGATTTGTGACCCTTTCTCTTTTTTATCTTTATTTTTAAGGCCAGAAAGGACAAAGAATTCTTGTGTATCAGCGTCAAAAGTGGTCCGTTGAGTGAATATAGCTTCCTGACTTTCTAATGTTGCATATTCGGCTGTTAATTCGTGAATTGTGTCCGCACGAATGTCATATATGAAAAAATCACTGATTATTATTAAAAGAAACTAATGTCATTATAAAAGCTATGGTATCATTTCAAAAACCTAATCAAAGATTTTGTATAAGCAAACCTCAAGAATAAATTATCCCGATCACCTCCTATTATATATAACAATTTCTCATGCTGATCAAATAACATGGAATGTCCAATTCGCGATTTAAGCTGAAGGAGATCATCAGATGAATTGTTATTTGATCTACATTACAAATTTATTAAAGTTATTTGGTAAGTAAAGGAGAATTACGAATATGAAGAGAATAGAAGATTAACATCCTTGTTAACCTGATTAATTTCCACTCTTTTGTCGGTATGGTGTATGTATATAAGCCGCTGTAGCTAAAATTTTCAGAGTCCTGAGGCATCGTTCGACCACCAAACACGTATATTATTTGAGCTTCTGAATCGATGCACATCTGATGATCGTAAACCAGCTGGGGACCTCCAACGGACTAAACATTAGATAAAAAAAATTTTTTTAAAAAGATATTTATGTTCAAAATAAGAAAAACTTGATAACTGCTTACAGCCGTATTTTCGCAAATCAACTCCCATTCATTATTCCTTATATCATAACGGTAGAAGTCCGAGTTGAAGTTTGCGTCCGCGCGCACATCACGATCAATAAAACGCCCAAGGACATACAAGCATTTTTTGCTAGGGTCCAGACACATTTTATGGTTTGAGCGTGGGTTAGGTCCCCCTTGCCTGTAGAATCACATAGTGAGCTTCATGCAAATCAGAAGAAAATATATATCAAGACGAATTTGTGACATGAAAGAACGTACACCTCCGTGTCGGCGCTAATCAATGCCCAATTCTTGTTATTTACATCGTAAACCCAAAAATCAGATAAGTCGTTACTTCCGTCCCAGCCACCAAGTAAATAAATGTGCCCAGCCTTTAGAAAAATTGATTGATCATTAACATTAGTCGCAAAGACGATCTACAGAATAACTTGATAAAGGATAAATAATCTTGCCTCAACATCAATACACATTTGATGACCACCTCTCATGCATGGGGAATTTCCATCTTGAGATTTTGATATAGGTAAGTACGCACCGATTAAAAAATAATAATAATAATAATTTTCTTACAATGATCATCTCTTTCTTACCGGCATCTGTGGCTTCGATTTTTTTCCACAAGTGACTATATGAACAACCACGAATGTATTCTCCAAACAGGCCCTTGTATGAAGCTTCAATCATGATATTTTCAGCCGCTTGAAAATCTCCATTCGTGACCAGCTGCGCGTGAAGTTCTGTTATGAATGGGTCCTCAAGAAGCATGTGAGTCTTTGATTGTAAAGCATTGGACGCATCCAAATAGTTCCGTTGACGAAAGTGCTTTAGGCAAAGTTTTATCGCTTCACGCTCAAGATACTGAAAAGAAAAAAGGTGAGATGGCAGGATTTTGCAATGAATGAATAGTATGACTCCAGTAAATCCTTACATTATTGTAATCAAAATATGCCTTCTGAACAAATTCTCGATCTCGAATACCCTTCAGCTCGACATACCATATGCTAAAACTGAACTCTGGGGAATAAGCAACGATCGGAACAATTTTGATATATTGACATGGCAACAACTATATATAACAGAATACAGATAATGGATTGATATCGATCCGTAAAATATTTCGCAATAAAACTAGACGAATAATACTCATTTACCACTTGATTCATCCGGTATTTCAATCGGAAGGACTCGGGCCGTGGATTATTCCGCAATCCTAAAAAGATATTTCGGACAAATTTTATTTCGATCTGATTTAAAGTTAAGTCATGACTTTTTGGTTTTTATGTATAAGTAGAAATAACACAGATCAACATTTTTTACCACTATGGAGCAGTTCAATCATGTTGTTTGGTGTTAGTCCGCCATAAACTTTGAATTGTTTCAAATTGGTTACGTGTTCTACAAGAGATTATGAGAAAGAAGGTTTTCAAAATATTTCTCAACGCCTTATATCAAATTTAACATGTAGCTTGCATGCCTTTGTAATATTTTCCAAATGTGATACTTTCTGCAGGATAGAAGGTCGGACATGATTAAGGATAAAATGATATCAATTTAATATAACACCGAGCAATATTTAACATCAAGTGCGATTTCAACGCAAAATAATCAAAGGATACGAACAATGGCCATTGTCTCGAGCTTGATCAGTACATAGTGCACCTGATTGTAGCTCTGTTTGATTAACCAACGAGAAGATTGCTCTGAAGGTTTGTCTTCCATGATATTATTCGGATGAAAGGAAGCCGTATAAGAAGAAAAAGAATCTATCTCATATGGTAATATCTCAATCGGGTGTTCAAGCTCAATATGAGGTTTTTTCGTTGAAAGCATTTTTGGCAATTTTTTTTTTATTATAAGGAAGCTTTCGCGAATAAAGAAACGAAGGAATTAATTGTTCAACAGAAGACTAGCATGTGATAATGCAACACAGGAAAATTTCCGGGTTCTGTTCTCATTACGTCACACGTCAATTGTCAGTACACGCAAGACTTATTATTAATTTACGCCACTAAAAAATGGTGTCATGTGATTATTTAGCCCCACTGAGCGCAATTAGAATAATCATAACCGTTTGGTGGAGGGGGTCTTAGTGAAGGTGGTAAATCCTTCGGTAGACCTGGTGGAAGCTTGTATTTAAACATCGGTGGTCTTTGCTGAAGCGTGGAAGTAGATTCTTCGGATGTTTGGAAATGTCTCTGCTGAAGAAGATGTGGATTTTGGAACAAATACACTACGAGAGTCAAAGGGAAAAATATTTCAATGGGCAGATAATAAACGGTGCAAGCGAGGGGACTTCCAATTGACTTACAATGGGGATCGACTATAGAAAAATCAATTCCATACGGAACATGCGAGTATTTACAGCTTAATCCAAATGGACAATATCCGGATTCGAAAAACTTGCGGCAGGGGGATTTCTTACTGTTTTCCACCAACAATTCTGCAGGATCTAAAGTAACCTTTACACCTCATAATCCAAAGGAACGAGAATCATTGATACGAATAATATCCGTTTTACCTTTATACGAATCATAATGTAATTTTACGTTGTTTTGATGCTGCGTTCCTTCTATGTGTTTTCGTCTAGCCTCGGCATTGTCTGGGAAAGACCGATCACAATAATCACAATAATCTGAATGAAAAAATTGGGATGATATTAAGAGAGACAACATCTTATCAAGCTAATTTGATATTCATTATGTGATACCTCTTGGATCTTCCACTTACACTTTTTCACCATCTCGGTGAGAAAACCAGCTCAGGTGATCGACCAACATTGCAGAATACGTAATGTCTATTGTAAATGAGTGAAATGAGTGGCTAAAAACCGGTTATCGAGCAGCCAATCACAGCAAACCTTTCCACATTTAAAAGAAAAATCTTTTTTTACCAGTCCTGAAGAAAAAAACTTTATCAGTCTCGAGTTTATTTCTTTAATCAAGCAGCAATTGACAATCAACCGCTTCATGTTTTGTCCACCACTCGAAAACAGTCAATATCAAAAGCAGCGTCCATACATTTATAGAAAACGTTCTCAAAAGCATAAACGTAAGAAGTCAATGACTTAAACAAAATAATAAAGTTGGATACTAACGAAGCACAGAAGACGCTATAATACATTAGAATACTTTACTACTACTTTTTTCTGTCATACTCCTTTGTTTTCGTATAATTAGCGTTATAAAATTAAAGTTTTGCAATCATGGATACCATTAACATCGGAGGAAATACTCAAGATCGTTTTTACCGGTATAAAATGCCTAAACTTATTTCCAAGGTAATTTATTTGAGTCTATTGAATACAATCCGGGTCGATTGAGGAAAAGATTTATTGAATTTTTTTTTCTTTATTTCTTTTTGAAGATTGAAGGCAAAGGGAATGGAATCAAGACGGTTGTTCCAAACATGACCGACATCGCACGTTCCTTGAGTCGTCCTCCAACTTGTAAGTGACTATTTCATGGAGATTAGGTTTTGTTCATACTTTAATATAATGTTTAATCTTGACGCCATAGACCCTACTAAGTTCTTTGGATGTGAGCTCGGAGCTCAAGTTAAATGTGACGAAAAAAATGATCGTTACATTGTGAACGGTGCGCACGATGCTTCAAGGCTTCAAGAATTGCTCGATGTGTTTATCAAAAAATTTGTTTTGTGTGCTGGGTGCAGTAACCCTGAGACTGACTTGGTAACGGATCATATTTTATTATTCGAAAATTTGTTATTTTCATTCATTCATTCATTCATTTACTTAAATTCGATTAACTTTGTAGATTATTACTGGAAAGAACGCTAATACTCAAAAAATCATCCGTGATTGCAAGGCTTGTGGCCAAAGAACCGACGTTGACATGCGTCACAAGTTGGTTACCTATATCCTAAAAAATCCCCCTACTTCTAAAGGAAAAGGTGGTAAGAAGGATAAAAAAGGAAAGAAATCTGCCGATGATGAGAATCCACCTTCCCCCACCAAAGGTGGTTCGGATGAAGGTTCGGAAGATGAAATTACTCGTCGTATTCAAGCAGAAGCCTCCGAGCTCCCTACTGCTGACCAAAACGCCGATGATGACGATGACTGGTCTGTTGATACTTCTGCTGATGCCGTTAAGAAACGTATTAAAGCTTTGGAGGAAGGTGTTCGTACCTCTTTAGTCATCACCGACATGGAAGGCGAAGGTGCCGAAAGTGAGGATCCTTATGAACAGATTGGCGAGTGGTTGGAAGAGAACCCCGGTTCTTCAAACAATGATATTTACAAGAAGATCAAAGAACTTGGTATCTCCAAGGAAACCGATCAAATTATGAAGCATCTCTTGGTTGGTCTTTTTGCCGATAGCTTCCACAAGAGTCCAGCAGCTTTATCCAAGCAAATTCGCAAGAGAGCCAAGTTATTTAAGAAGGTATTCGTTACCTACTGTAGCTATATATCAATTTATTTAGCAAATCCTAATTTTAATTTTTTTTTTTACAGTTTATAACAAGTCCTGATGATCAAAGAGCTCTTTTGGGTGCCACCGAAGAAGTCCTCATGGAGGATAAAGGATTGTTGGAGAGCAAGATCGTTTGCAGCATCTTAATGGAATACTATCAGAACGATTTACTTGAAGAAGATGTTTTTGTCGCTTGGATTGAAGGAAGTTCTTCCCAGAAATACAAAGAACTCTTTAAAAGAACCGGTTCGATTGACTACGTTGACCCGGCTGTCAACCAAGATATCCGTAATAAGGCCAAACCATTCGCGAAATGGTTGGAAAAAGAGGACGACGAAGACGATGAGGATGAAGAATAGGAAATGCTGCCCGATTATTTTCTTTCTTTCTTTCGTCGATATCAAGTGTTACTTTGTTATGATCAGGAAAAATATGAACTTGAGCTTTGTGAGGAGACGTGATAAATTACAAATTGACCAGTTATGAAAGAAACGATTAGTTTAAATTATCTCGCTGATTATTTTAACGTGCTTACTATCTTATTAATTCAATCTGTTTCTAATAACATTTATTCTTTTTGTTTTTTATTGTTTTCTTTATTTTCATGTTTCTTTGTTTACTCTGAATTCAATCGTTGCTTACCATGAATTGTGTTTAACAAATTTGTAAAGGAACTAAAACTTTTTATTTACAATAAATTTTTTTTCTTTGAATGCTTTTTATTACGTACATATAAGATCAAATGCAAAAAAATAATGATTGACCGTTGACAATATAATGAGAAAACCTTTGTCTTTAAATAAAACACTCGACTTACAATATTTTGTTTATTAAGCTTTATTTCCTTGCAATCTAATAAATAATTCAAAGAATATTTTTTTGATCAATAAATAAAAGTTTAATAAGGTATATCATTAAATAAAAAAATTAATTTATCAAAAATGATTTGATTTTCTTATTGTAATAAATAAATTTTTTTTGAACTGGGTAATCAGATGACATGTATTCTAGCTTATTAAAAAGTCGAAAAGCACAAATTTTTTATAGTACTAAAGTACAGTTTTGTAACAAAGATATTTAAAATTAACTTGTACTATAAAAATTTTTTTTTATTTATTTGTATTTGACATTAAAATTTTTTATAAAATACAATAAATTGTCATAATATCTAATATACAGTATAATTGATTTTTTTTTTGTTACTTAACAATTAAATTATTGATATTGTAAACAAAATTCTTTTGATTGATATTCAAATTGTTAGTTTTTAGAAAGATTTAGTAATTAAATAAAATTATTTATTATTCCAATATAATAATCTTTTATCAAAATAAGTTAAAAAATAACAAGATATTTTTTGTTATTTATTAATAATAAAAATTTTTTCTTGGAATTATTATTATTATTATTAATTAGCAAAACATTAAATTTATTAATTGAAAATAAATTAAAAAATTTTTTTAAATTAAAATTTGTATTAAAATACAAGTTTATAATTTTATAAAAAATTTTTTTGTTTTTAATCAAACTGCAAATTTTAGTATTTATTAATCTAATTTTTAAATAACAATAATATAATATACAATATGATATTATATTAAAGCCAAACTAGTTTTATTTTGCAAAACACCTATTAATAAATTTAGATTTATATATAATTCTTAAATCTTTAATATCAAAATCACTATACTGTTTATATAATTTAACTATTTACCAACTATCTTATTATAAAAGAGTAAATTCATTAAACTATTATTGCATAATATTAACTATCTTAGACTTTTCAAATCTTAAGTCTCTAAATATAATTATGAGTATATATATTACTGAAATTTGTAAATCCTTGATACAATTAATTGAATTACTATTAAAATATATAAATAATTAAAGCATAATATAATTGTTTTTAAAAATTTTAAAAATTAAGTCAATAGTAAATAATTTATATCACATATATAAAAATAATAGAAGTTGCTTCTCCTTAAAATTTAAATATCAAAATTTTTGTCTTGAAAGATTAAAACCAGTTTATATTTAAATTGTTATCTCAATACAAATCTGCAATTTTAAAAGATAAAATAATTTTATTTTTAAGAAATTAAAAAAAAAAAGAAAAAATAATTGAAAAGTCTATTTTAATAAATAAAAACTTTCCAATATTAATTTCAGTTCATTAAAATAAATTTTTTATTATTATTAGCAGTTAAGTAAACTATTTAATTTAGACCTGTAGGTCTATAGTGTAGTGATTAACACTCCACAGGTCAGATCACAAGATACCAGTTCAACTCCAGGTAAAGGCAGTTGAACCGAATTAAAAACGGTATCTGGGGCCATAACCTGTTAAGCCTTGTTTCCCATAAGAAGTCATTTACACGCTGATTCAGTGGGATGTTGGGATTGTGATCTCCAGAAAAGGCGTCGAGGTGTGATGATCGTCCATATAGTGCTACAATGATCGCCAGAAGCATGCCAATGGTAGTTGAGCAATATGGTAAGCCAAGAGGCATGTGTTCAACTTCCTTAATCAAGATTCCCCTTGCGTTTAGATGTACAGATTGGGCTGTACTCCATCCTAATCCAATCCCATCTATCTCTGTCACTGTTAACCATCAAGTAAGGAGGCTTTGATGAAATCACACTATCACTATCCCTTCTGTGGATAAGGTTTAATCTCAATGGCACCTGAGTATGTAGAAGTTGCACCCTGCTTGGCATTCATGCCCCTAGATTTGGCAGTCAAGGCCAACTGGTTCCGAACTGGAGTATCTACTAGGAGGTTTAGGGTTGATACTCTTTAGGAGTCACGCCCCACTTGGCCATATGGTCCCTAGATTTGGTAGTGTCCAACCAGCGGTCAAACCGGAGCATTTACTAGGGAGTGCATACCAATCTTGAGAATCCCACTGACACATTAGGAAGGAGCAGTAGGAATGATGTGAGAAGTTACTTATGTAGATGGCTAATAGTATATGCCCCCATAAGAACAATAAGATCCATAAGCCCTATAGGTTAGGTAGTTTAAAACCAACAGTAGGATTTCTACCCCCTATAGTCTCCTGGTATCATGAGGAAAGGTTATTAAGTAACAGGCTTCTGGGTACCAGATGAATTAAAAGTTGATAGGCTAGCATTTAGTTGTAGTCATGTATTACAAAGGATGCTTGATGTAATGGAT